ATGCCTCATTGACAGCCCGAGCAGTCCCGCAAAGGTAATGCTCATTGCGTAGATTTGATTGATATGTCTACTGTTCTAGATCTGTAAGTATGTACACAGCTCTAATTGATGCGCTTACTCTTGATTATAGGGAATTGGGGAAAACACTGGTGATAAAGCAGTAAAAATGAGTAAATCTCCGGTCAAAAGGAGGTTAATGGAGAGTTTTATTGAGAAACCTCTCTGGAATCCTAGAGGCAAGTTTAATTTATTTAGTATTAACTTAGTTTATTTAATTGGATATATGATGTGTGGTTTATCTGATTTTGATTATACACCGTATATATATATATATATATATATATTTTAATTTTAGTTTGAATTTTGTTTAGTTATGTGTTCTGGAAGATATAATATCACTGTAGCTCTCTAGTGATGCTTGATTTACTAATTTTTATCTTCTGTAAAAATAGATCCCGAGCAATTAAATTATGTGAAGGAGGCATTGCATGTATCTACTGCTCCATCAACCATAATGTGTCGAGATGCTGAGCAAAACCGTGTTCTGGAATTTTGCAAGCAATGTGTTGAGCAGGGGAAGGCTGGAAGTTTGTATGTTTCTGGGTGTCCAGGGACTGGAAAGTCACTCTCAATTGAAAAGGTCAAAGAAGCATTGGTTGATTGGGCTAAGAAGGTAATGCTCTTATCATCATCATCATCACTTGGATGATAATAGATAGTCTGAAATATGAGGAGCATTGCATTCTGAACACATATAGCACAATGTTTGAGAGCTGCAGTTTTTTTCCCATATAAATATGATATGTGCATTGTTTATAAATCAGTTGATTAGTAGATATTCTGCTGAGTGAATCACATTTGTTAGCTTTGTAAGATTGTATGCAAGTTAGAGACCTTGCTTATTCTTTTTAAAGAAAATTACATTTTCTTGATTTTAAACAGTATTGGAAGCATGTTGTCTTTGATCTGTCTATACTTACATACTGGTAAACTTGATATAACTATGAATGTGTAGTAATAGTATTCAGCCAACTTCCTAAACTAGTTCTCTAAAAACTATTTTCTGTGTATTCAGGTGAACTTTCAACAACCAGATATATTATCCATCAACTGCACTTCTCTGACAAAGACTTCTGAAATTTTCAACAAGGTTTGTCAATTGTCAGTAATTCAAATGCATTATGGTACAAGGTTGTTTGTGCTTACATTCTGATATCTTTTACAGATACTTGAAAAGATTCAACCTAAGAAAAAACTCAGTGGCTCTACAACACCATTGCAGCTTCTTCAGAACCTATTCTCTCTTAAGCAGCAAGCCGGTACAAGCATGATGTAAGGCACATTCTGAACTCAAAAGTCATGTACTTGAACAATTTTTGTAACTCCGCAAGTTGCAATCCCTTTCATATTTCCAAATCTGCTGGAAGTTTGATACTATTCTTCAATAACTAATAGTGATGTTTAATTGTTAAACAGGTTAATAATTGCTGATGAGTTGGATTATTTGATAACCCAAGACCGAGCTGTGCTTCATGATCTATTCATGCTAACAACATTTCCTTCCTCCAGATGTATTGTATTAGGTACTAGAAATAAGAATGTTTCTTTCTCTAGTTATGTGCATGTTTCATGTTTGATGCTGATGGTAATAAGTTGTTTTTGCTCAAGATTGCTCATATTTTGGCTTCTTCCTTAACAGGAATTGCTAATGCAATTGACCTAGCTGATAGATTCCTTCCAAAACTGCAATCCTTGAACTGTGAGTATTTTTCTAAGTTACCTTTATGCTGGGTTTACCGCTTTTCATTTTGCAGTTCATCCCCAATGATACAACACATATGCTGCATACTATATTAGACAATTTAACATGTCCTGCTTTCTTTTACTAGGCAAGCCAATGGTCATAACATTTCGTGCATACTCCAAGGACCAAATCATCATGATTCTTCGGCAAAGATTAGCGGTAATTATGTCTTTTCTTTACCTACAAAATGAGTGTTAGTTTAAGCTTTAGTTTTCTAATTTCCTTTTCAGCATATACCTTTTACTGGATACCTTTGTGATAAATACTAAATCAAGACAAGTAATCTCAGATGGAAACATATGCTTTTGGGGTCTATTCCAAGTGAAACTGAATGAAATTTATTCATGACATAGTTCATGCTGAATCTTAAACTTAAGTTATAATCAGAGGTCATATCCTATTCTTCTGTGCTCAGTTAATTAGGCAGGGCTTCGAGGGAACCTACTATAACTAGTAACATCTTACCATATTCATTGTTTTGCCATTGTTGAATTTTCTTTGAGAATAATGTCTGATAGCTATCTTGATAATATTTGCCTAATTATTTATACTCCCTTTTGCTTTCTTCTACAGACACTTCCATACATTGTCTTCCAGCCTCAAGCACTGGAGCTTTGTGCTAGGGTAGGCTCACTAGCATCCATTTTCTTACCACATTTGAATTTATAGTCCACTCTCATATTTCCTAGTTCTGATTATTGCTTTCCAAAATGTTGAGCTCAATATGAAATTTAATGTATGCTGCACATTTGTTTTATTATTTTGACACGGTGCATTTACTCATTGTGCTTCTTAAATCACAGAAAATTGCATCTGCATCTGGAGATATGAGGAAAGCACTGTCAATTTGCAGGTAGGTGACAACATTCCAGCAACTTCATTAATCAAGTGAAAACAAGAAATTCCTCCCCCTAAAAGGAGTTTACTCCCAGATATGGAGGTGGATGGTTTATTACTAGCCATTGAAACTTAAATATTGTATTTTTCTTTGACTGTTGTTTTAGGAGTGCAATTGAGGTGTTGGAAACTGAGATTAGAGACTCTATCAACAGCCTAAATTTGACTTCCCTTGAGACCGGGGTTTCTGGTGCCCCTTCCAATATATTGCGGATGCCAGATAACAATATTGTAAGTAAATTGAGGTGCATTATTGTAATTAGGATTCTGATTTGCTGCTATTACTCTTACCCAGTCTGTAACTTGCTCTTACAATGGTGGAGAATTTTTATAGGTTAGGGTTGATCACGTTGCTAGGGCCTTATCAAACGCATATAAATCTCCAGCAGTGGACACCATACAATCTCTTCCACAACATCAACAGGTATATTTGTTTTCATCACATTTTTGTCAAGCATGCTCCACTGTATGCTGGTGCTTTACTTGCTTCCAAACACACCATTAGCTATGCATTACTTAATTGATCTTTTGAAACAGATCATTCTTTGCTCTGCTGTAAAACTGTTTCGAGGGGGGAAAAAAGATGCCACAATAGGCGAGGTAAAATAATGCTTTTATTATTTATTATATTAACTTTAAGCATTATTTTTTATTTGTAAAATATGATATTGATGCAAGTGTGTTATATTGGTGTAGTTGAGCAAATATTACATAGATGTCTGTAGATCAACTTTAGTCCCAGCTGTTGGTGTTATGGAACTGTCAAGTATGTGCAGAGTGCTTGCTGACCAGGTAAGGACTAAACCCTTGTATAATGATAATTTCCTCAGATTGCCTTTTAGAGAAAAGAGCAAAGAAATTGAAGAAAAAACTTGTGGACAATTTTGGTGCAGGGTCTTCTAAAGATGGGACAATCTCGAGAAGTTAAATTAAGGAGAGTAACATTAAAGGTAGATGAAGCAGACATTACTTTTGCCTTGCAGGTAGGTGCAATCCAACCTCATTTTTGCTTTTACTTACATGTCATAACTCATAAGGCTGTATATTTTACACTTTTTTTGGAACAGGGGATTCGCTTCTTTCGGAACTGTCTTCAATAAGAATTGACTCACAACCGTTTTCTGAACTGTCTTCAATAAGAATTGAATCACAACTGTTTGGCTGCTGAATGGCAATCTAGTATTTGCTTCAATGCTGCTGTGCATTGAGAGGAGAGGAATTAGTTGCTAACAAATTAAAGGAAGAGTAATTTATATAGAGGATGTCCTATACAAAAAGTCAAATGCTACTTGTGTATTGTTTGCTTATGATTAATAGATAAATTTGAGGAGCACAGCCTTGTATACCAACCAACCATTATGTATGGTCTATACAAAAGAAGCCAATTTTTTTTTTGAAAATAAAGAAGTTTATTCATTTAATCATAAGCTGAAGTGATTACAAATAAGATTGATTGAATGGTTTACCATTCTTTAAAACAACTTCTCTAGCAATACTACAAAGAACTTGAATCCTGTTTTACAAATTTGAAGTTAAATTCGTTAGATGAATTTAACTTTTCTTTAATATCAAACATTGACCAACTTATATGTTTCACACACCACCGAGTATATATTTTCCATCTATCGTTCATTGACAATATATTCATCCAGATGCTCTTTCACATTGTCATTTTTGTATGAAGTTCATATACGCCATGACCAACTTATATGAAGAAAGTTCATATACGCCATGACCAACTTATATGAAGAAAAGAACTCGCCAAAAGAAACGAGTGAAAAAACAAACCCATCACACAAATGAGAGAAAAACACAGATCCTTCCGCAGGTTCACTTACGGAAACCTTGTTACGACTTCTCCTTCCTCTCCTTCCTCTAAATGATAAGGTTCAGTGTACTTCTCGCGACGTCGCGAGCAGCGAACCGCCCACGTCGATCATTCAATCGATAGGAGCGACGGGCGGTGTGTACAAAGGGCAGGGACGTAGTCAACGCGAGCTGATGACTCGCGCTTACTAGGAATTCCTCGTTGAAGACCCAAGTTGGGCAACTTCCGCAACTTGGGCGCCCTCATTCCGCATAAGTCCGTAACTTGGGCACCCTCGTACCGCAACTTTCCCGATCAAATCACTTCTTTATCCTGATCTGGCGGAATCCTTAAGCTTTAGATCTTTAGGGCTACCGCAACTTTTTTGAAGGGGTGGTGACTGAATCGGTACTAGACTTAATTATGAAACTAAAACAAGCAAAAAACAAAAGAACTAAACAAAAGGGAAGCTGATCAATAATTGTATAGTAATATATAAATCTTGCAAGAAGATGAGAGTGTGTAGTGTATTTCACTAAACAAAAGGGAAACTGATCAATAATTGTTGCTAGTTGATGAACTTGTTGATGAGAAACTAAACCAAATTTAGGTTAATGTATATGAAAATCTAATAACTAGCATGGCATACACCAAAGCTAACATCAAAGGGAGTGACTTAAATTAACTACTACTCAATCAATCACCAAACAATCCACCAACAAAGTCATCGTCAGATTCCTCAGATTCTTGTTTCTTCTCCTCCTCCTTGGCCGGAGGAGCTGATTCAGCGGCGGCATCAGCACCAGCATCTTCCACCGGGGCAGCAGAAGCAAATTTGGTTGGATCCTCTAAATATTCTTTTATCTTATCAGCCAGTGGGAAGGAGTAATCTGTTGCTATCGCAAAAGAGAGAAGATTCTTGTATCCATTGATGAAGATGTGGGGCACGGCGGCAAGAGTTGGGTACCCAAGAGCCATGGAGAGGGAGATGACATTGGTCAAGCCGGCCGCAAATTTCTCGGCAAGATCATCTTCTGTGAGCTCAAGAATCCTGGGATCGAACACAGACCCATCATCATACACATGCTCCACAATCAATCCGTATGAGAATGGCTTGATGCCCAGCTTTGCGAGAAGAGCAGACTCAGACGACCCCACCTTTTCACCCTTCTTGATAATTTCCACTGGGGTAATGATTTCCACTGTCCCTTTGTTGATCTTTGTAGGGATGTTCAACACCTGAAGAATGAATTGAAGCATGCATATATGCAAGCAAATTAAAGGATCGGATCGGAAATTAATTAAAGAAAGAAATGATTGAAGATCGACCTGAAAGAAACTGGTCTGAGAAGGGTCAAGTCCAGTGCTTCCCGGTGGAACAATCACATCAACTGGAGCAACGAGGCCAACCCTTGCCGGTGCTCCAACCTGTATGCATGCATGCATGTCAGATCAACCGATTATATACACAACAACATATATACCTACCTTTGAAATTAAATTTAATTTAATTTACATAGATAAACCCAAAAATACACTATCGAATTGAATATACCTTGTACTTGGAAACTTCATCGCTCACTTCTTTCAGATCTCCTTTAGTGAAGATCAATCCCACATTATTCTGTTATTTTACATGAAAAATATACAATAATAATCCACGAAACGCAAATTAAAGCTCACACACACACACTATATATCACTACTGGAAATTCTGAAATTTCCGACCACGTTGAAAGCAAAAAGTGGTCGGAAATAGCAACCAAGGTTTTTCCTGATATCAAAAGTGATCGGAACAAGACTTTCGACTTGATTTAAGATCACTTTCAGGTGGTCGGAAATTTCAGAATTTCAAGTAGCATATATATATATAGAAAAAGAGAAGAAAATGAGGAAAAAGGTTGTGCGAAGAGAGAGAGAACTGACGACGAGACAAGGAATGAGGGCGAGAATAGCAGAGTTGTCGGTCTTCTCAGCATGCATGCGGATGGAGCGTTTCATCATGGTGTTCTTACCCATGAGGATGATGGAATCACCACGGAGCCCCCTGCGGATGTCCTGGAACTGCCGGGACCCTACATTGTCGGCGCTCACCACCAGTATTTGAGAGTAGGTATCTAGCAGCTTGCAGATCTTGGCGTCATAAGCTATCTTTTTCTGCGCCTTAGTCACCTTCACCGCCATTCTGAGCAAGAGATCGAGAAAAAAGAGAAATGAGATGAGCTTTCCTATTGTAGGGTGGGTGATCGATAGATATATATAAATATATGCGCGCTCAGAAACCCTAAAACGGTTGGGTGGTTTTGCAATTTGCAGTGACGACAGTACTATACAGACGTGTAAAGAATGGATTGCAGGGAGCTAGGGAAGAAGCCAAACCACTGATGAGATTTTCTGGATATTATTGGACTGACTCAACGGTTCTGTTCCTGGATAATTGCTTCACCTCATCATTCACTCCTTTTCATTATATTTTTTTTTTTTTTTTTGGGGGGGGGGGGGGGGGGTGTAATTTCATTATATTTCTTTTACTCTCTACTTTTTTCACGGCATTCATCCAACAAACCTTTTAGCCAATATATGCATGATAAAAGAGTGTTTAGGAATAAATTGTAATTAGATTTTGATGAGCCAAATGTATTTTTAGGATAAAAATTAGTCTCCTATTTATTTATTTATTTTATTTTGAGCCATATTCAACAAGTTCAGGAAAATTATTTTTGAAGAAAAGAAGATTGATGCTATATGAAATTATGCAAAGAAAATTAATTTGAGCTATTGTCTCAAATTAATTCGAAAAGAATTTATGTATTAAAGGTTATATATTTTCTTGGAAGAAGATATAGCAATTTAAGGGATCAAAATGATGGAGACTACATTTTTCTTAAGTCACGGCAATTTGAAGAGAAGGAAGGGGTCACACTATTTTAATTAAAGAAGAGGTCACACTATTCTTGAAGAAAGAAGAGGTCACACTATTTTTGAAGAAAGAAGAGGTCACACCTTTGGAGGCTAAGGATTGCTTCTAAGTTCTAAAGGAGAAATAGAAATTGGAACAAGAGAGTTAACAAAGGTCTAATTGGCTTAGTTGGTTAAAGAACTTTGCATGGAAATTGTTATTTATGGTGTAAGGTTCAAATCCTCTTAAAAACATATTTTTTAAGAAGGGGGTTACGCTTCTCTTAAGAGAGGTCACGCAAAACATACTTTTTATGAAGGGGGTTACGCTTCTCCTAAGAGAGGTCATGCTTTGATCAGAAGTGGAGGTCACGATTTCATCTCTACAAATAAAGTTATTTCATCTCTACAAATAAAGTTATATAAGTCTTGAAGAGAAGAACACAAGTGTGAGAAAGCAAGCTATATAAGTCAGTACAAGTGCTATACACGAAAAAGAGCTAGAAAATCCTTCCTTGATAATATTTGTAGGAGCCTCCACGTTGGAAAAAGAGAGAAAATTATTGTTTTTGTAAAAAGTAGTTTCCCTACTTGGTGTAGGTAGAAGGCTGAGTAACAAAGGAGTTTGTGAAAATCCTAGGAGTGCAAGCTTGGTGCAAAGGCACTCTAAGTTGTGTTTAGTGCTGGCTTAGTGTTCAAGGCACTAAAGGTGAATTTCTCCTTGGAGTGAAAGGAGAAGAGTGGAGTAGGAGGATTACATTACCTCCGAACCACTATAAATCTCTCTCTCTTTAGCTTTCGTTTTGGTGCGAAAAACTTATTTACACCCAATAATATTCATATTATACTGAGATGGGACAAGATACCTGGTTTCATTCTAAAGGAGCGCATTAAATTCATCACCCATAGTCTTGCGCCATTCATCATGTTTAATAGCCTATGTATAACAAGTAGGTTCAGTGGGGCAAACATGGGCTGATAGAGCTAAGAGAGGACCATCAGCGTGACTACGAGTGGCCATGGAGTGAGTCCGAACCGTGGGGCACGACGACCGACCTCTCGGCCGGCCACGGCGTCGCTGAGCGGCAGTAGGTTCGGTGTCCGTCGAGGGCCGGTTCTGGCTTGCTAGATTCGCTGTTGGCTGGGACCGGTTCAGGCGAGACCGGTTGAGTCGAGATGGATGATGAAGTTGGAACAAGTACAGACTTAGCCCATGGTCGAGTCGTTTGAACTGGTGGTGCCTGCAAAACTGTCTTGCCAAAAGAAAAAACATTCTCATCAAACTTAACATGCCTGCATATATATACCTTGTTAGTCTGAAAGTCTATGCACCTATACCCCCTAAATGACTCAGGATAACCTAGGAAGACACATGGAGAGGACCTGTAAGACATCTTATGACGATTGTAGGGATGCAAATAAGGATAGCACAGACAACCCAAGACACGAAGAAAATAATAGGATGGAGGGGATTTATGCAATAGAAGATGATGACTGGATTTATTTGTCACAATGGATGACACTTGATAAGCTTCTTTTCTCTTACGCTTTTTCAAACGGGAGATAGCATCAAACTTGTGTGGGGATGAACCCCGAATTTTATCGTTCTTAAGGGATGGCCGCTCGGAGTTAGCCCTAAGTTGCTAATGTTGGAAAGTAACAACATTGCCCAAGTTTGCAAGCATGTCACATGCACACAATTGAATTAACGTTGTAGTGGTTTAACAAGATTAAAACTAGTAAGTGATCAAACAATATAAAACAAGTATGGTTGGATTGCTTAGTGTGGATGAAGATGCTAAAGGGATCATTTGACATAGGGCGAGAGGGAGCCATTACTAAGTCTAGAGAGTGGCTTTTGTCCGTTCATAACATAGATTACTAGGACTTTGTTTAGGATTCACCTAAACCTTTCCGCAAACACCTTGCCTTCAACTCTTTCCTAACCAAGCCCCGTAGGGTTCCTTGAGCCAAGAAATGCTAAGGATAGGAGTTTGGATTGACCTAGCATAGGTCAATCCCTCAAACACCATGGGAGGTGATCAAGTTCCTAGGATTCAAACAAGTCAATCCTCAACAACAAGACATAGAAGTAAAAGCCATCAATCAATCCCTAATTCAAGAAATAAGTCATGAAAGCATCATCAACACACACTTACACAATCCAAACCCTAACTAAGCTAGCCCATCATAGGCATATCAAACATCAAAGCATTCATAGATCTAAATATAGCAAAAGCAAATAGAAAATAGCAAAGAGTAGAAATTATACCAAAGTAGACTAGGAATTGGAATTTAAGTCTTGCAAGATCCTTGAAATGGAGTTTGCCAAGCTCTTCCTTCAGCAATCTCTCTAGAAATCCTTCTACAAAGTGTTTTCTCTCTCAATCTAAATGCTAAGCTATTTATTTCTCTCTCTAAAATTGGTTCCCTCCCTACAAATATGATCTAAAACACTTTAAATAGCCTTCCCTTTCAATTCCTTCCGCAGCTATTCCAACGCAGCCTCCAACACCCAAGTAACGTGCGTTGCTCGGGAACTTATTCTGCCCAACGTCCGTCACAACGCACGTTGTCCGGTGCGTTGAACTTACTGGAAATCAACCATGTTTCACTTCTCCACAACGTACACTGCAACGCACGTTGTGGCCTCGTTGCTCAGTCCCGGCTTGACTCTTTATTTCTCTTTGATTCCGGTTGTGCCATTTCGCCTCGTTTAAGCCCAAAACTTACCTGAAAACTTGTAAAACATAAAGTGCGGTGATAATTTCCAAAATAATGTAAAACATAGCTAATTGGCACATAATTGCTACCCAAAGGATTACTTTAAGCCTAGAATTCACTCTAAAAGGACCTTAAAAGTGTGTGTCTTTGACACTTATCAGCACTTTATTAATTAAATAAACCGCAGTCTCAAAATCATAATCCCAAAACTTATAAGAAATGAAGGCACGACTTAAGAGAGCTAGACCAGTTTCAACAATGTGTCTATGCTTTCTTTCGACACGGCCATTCTGTTCATGAGTATACGCACATGATTGTCTCTGAAGAATGCCTAACTGAGCCAAGGTGGTGCGTAACTTTTTATATTCAAATCCTAGATCAGACTGAATGGATTTAAATTTGCGATTTAATGGACGTTCAACCATAGCCCGAAACTTATCAAAGATAGCATAGAGATCAGACTTTTGTGACATAGGAAAGTACCAAGTGTAACGAGGGTAGTCATCAACAAAGATAACGAAATAACGATATCCGTTAGTAGAAAGAATGGGAGCAGGTCCCCAAATGTTTGTGTAAATTAAATCAAGGACACACAAACTAGAGGACTCAACACGTGGTAAGGGAAATCGTGCAGATTTCCCTAACTGACATGCATTACATAGACCGGAAGAACAACGAATATTACTGCTAGACCCACTAACTGAACAAGACGAAAGAATTTGACTGAGAACTCGTTGATGAGGATGACCAAGATGATCATGCCACACAGATGCTAAGGCTCTAGCCAAAAGAAACGCAGTTGGTGACGAACTCGAAATGGGAAGCTTGTAAAGCCCCCCAGAACTATTACCCTGTAGAAGAATTTCCTTGGTGTTGATATCCTTCACAACAAAAAAAAAATGGATGAAACTCAAAGAACACCTTATTATCTGATGCAAAAATTTTGAACAGACAACAAAGATGTAGACAAACTAGGAACATGAAGGATATTAGACAATTCAAAATATTTAGAGGGGGAATTAAAGGTAGCATGACCAATACGACTAATAGGTAATCACATATCATCACCGACACGTAATGTGTCATTACCATTGTAGTCCTCCAAGAAAGAGAGAGCAGCGATGCCCGGAGTGGCATGATTAGTGGCACCTGTATCTGGAAGCCAGGTCTGGGACCCTTGAGGATCCGAAGGAGTTTCTTGATATATGACATTTGCTTGAGGATCCTTGGCACACCAAAAATGGCATGTGGAAGCAGTATGACCTAACACATGACAAAGTTGACACTTAGGTTGCCAGTTGCCGTTGCGTCCTACACCACATAGACTGCCACCACACCCGCGGTCGCCGCCACCACCATGCGGCTAGCCAGTTTGGCCGCTGTTTTGACCACTGTTCTAGCTGGAACCACGGCCACCATTACCGTGCCCAGAACTGCGGCTCTTCTGGCTGCCCTTTTGCGCCGTGAAAGCGGCCGGCGAGCCACCTCCGGGACCACCGCGCGTCATAAATTCCTCCGTGCCCAAGAGATCTGCAAGCTCTTGGAGAGTAATAGGCTGGCCGCGTACGTTGAGAGACAATATGAGACCCCTGAACTCTGGCCGTAACCCCCGAAGAACGTAAAAGTTTTGTTCTTCGAGTGTCATAGGTCGGCCGGCGAGAGCGAGCTCCTCCACCAAAACCCTAGCCTTGCCGATGTAGTCAGCAGCGAACATGTCTCCTTGATCAAGTGTCTGCAATTGTCCGAGTAGATTGAGACCCCGGGAGCGGGAAGACGACGCGAGTGCACCAACCACAGCAGTCCAAACAACCCGGCTGGTGCGGTGGCCGATGGCGAGAGGCATGACCTCATCGGAGAAGGACGACATCAACATAAACAATAAGGCTTGGTCCTGCCGGACCCACGCACGATGCGCCGGATTGAGCTGCACGGTTGTCGTATCACCGCCGTCACCGTTTAGGGTGGCTGGAGGACATGGATTCGTTCCATCAACAAATCCAAGAAGATCGTGACCATCAAGAAAATGAACAACATGGGCTCTCCAAAATAGGTAGTTCTTGTAGGTCAACTTAATGTTGATGAAGTGGTGAGCCGGTGGATAAAGAATTAACCACCGACGTAGCAGAAGAGATAGGAGCATTAGAGACGATCCGTTAAGAGGAATTAATAGATCCGTCAGCCATTGGAAAGAAAACTCTAGCTTAGCTGATACCATATGAGAGCTAATAGAGTTGTGTATTAAATGAAATAATACAATGTACAGATTACAAGTATATATAAGAAGGATTGTCCCAGAGAAACTGGGATAGAGAATCATAATCAAACTCAAATACATAGAGTTCTAATAACACATACACTACCTGACATTCATAGGTTTGAATATACATATAGATATAAACATTCAAATTATATAGATTCAAGAATACGCACAGTATGTACGAAGATATGCCTTAATTACTTATACGCCCAAAATTACATATAAGAAACAAGGTACAAATAATTTCCCACTTTAAATATTACAAATACTACAAATTCATGAATCACATAAGCCAATTATTCACAATTACTAAATATATATTTGAGGGATTTTAAAAAGATTTTGCACATAAACACTTAGGAAAAAAGATTTTATTTGGGTAAGAATTTTGGTGAACATAAATCTTACGGAAATTAATTCGGAAAAAATGTATTTTAGTGAACATGAATCTTACCTAAGAGCCAAAATCCCGAATCACCTAAAGTTGATGAAGAAGGAAAATACTAAATTGATGGTGAACAAGGAAAAGACTAAGGGTGTGTTTGGTTCGCACTACGGAAACGGAATCAAATACTTGGTAATGGTAATGAGTTTTGGTGAAAGTATTTTTCATGTTTGGTAGTAGGGTGAAATTGGAATGATTACCAATATTGATGTTTGGTTATGTATGACCCTATAATGAGGATAAATGTTTTAAAAATACAAAAAATAAAAAATTAAGGCAATTGATCCTAATATAATGACATCCAAAGCACCAACATGAACAAAAAAAAAATCAAAACAAAAATATAAAAGCACTAATCGTTTAGAATGGATTAGTATACAAATGACACCTTATCAAGCTTTATATGGTCAAAAGTGTATAGGAGCCCACTGTGTTGAGGAGATATGAGTGGTGCATTGGTATTAGAGCCTCAGTATTTACAAGATACCATAGAGAAGGTGAGACTTATTAAAGGAAAGATGAAGGCTGCGTAAGATCGACAAAAATAATATGTTGACAAGAATAGACAACAAGTTGAATTTCAAGAAGGAGAGAAGGTATTGCTAAGAGTTTCACCTACTAAAAGAGTGATGATGTTTGGTAAGAAGGGAAAGTTAAACCCGAGGTTTATTGGTCCATATGAGATTTTGGAGAAGGTTGGAAAAGTGGCTTATAGGTTGGTATTGCCAACTGAATTGGACAAAGTTCATAATGTGTTCCATGTGTCACAATTCAAGAAGTATGTGCATGATCCATCACATATTATTTGTCCAGACATGGCAGAGATGGATGAATCTTTGACTTAGAGGAAAGACCACTAAAGATCTTGGATACAAAGACACGTGAGACAAGGAGGAAAGCTATCAAGTTGGTCAAGGTAATGTGGTCTAATCATCAAATTGAGGAGGCTACTTGGGAAATGGAAGATGATATGAGGAATCGATATCTTGAGCTGTTTCAATCAGGTACATGTTTAGTTACGAGGGCGTAACCTTTTCTTTAGGGGGGAAAGTTTGACACCATTGTTCTTTGTATAAGAATTGTTGTCTGTCTATGCGTTGCTTTCTGTGATTTAGTATTAAGTGTGGTTATGTTGGCTTGGTGTCATCTATGTGGTGTCATCCATTGTTATCTTCGGTGTGTTTTGACCTATGATTTTGGTTGGCATTGTTATGGTTTAAGTCGTGGTTTGAGTTTTGGGACAAAACATCTTTTAAAGGGGGAGATTGTAATATTCAATTATTTTATTGATATTATTTATTATTAAAATATTTTCATTAATAGTTTTTTAAAATAATACCTTAAAAATTATTTTATTATATAATCCATAATTATACTAATTTACTCCTAGCCAAGACTTTGTAGTCTAATGGCACCAAGTGGTACTCTCATATGAGAGGTTGTGAGTTTGAACCTCAATGGAGGCGGTGGGAAACAAAATGGGAGTACATGTAGCATCTCTCTCTCTGTTTATTTTTCTTTAATTACCCACCGTGATATGTGTATGTTTAATTTCCTATATGGGAAATTTTTTTATCATTAATTCTAATAAAATTGAGGTCGTTTTATTATGATTACTATATGGTAATTAATGAGTATATGTTATTCTTAATTAATATTATGCTAATTATGACGTCCGTTTAATTATGGACGTAATATGTGTATGTTTAATTTCCTTTAATTATGTTCGTAATATGTGTATGTTTAATTTCCTTTAATTATGTCAGTAATATGTGTACCATTAATTTCCTTAATTGATTAGATAAAATCGATATTACGGCAAGTATAAAAATAGATTAATAAAAGTATAATTTGTGAATTAATTTATTAATTCCCATAATAATTAAGATTTTATTCAAAAGTAACCATTAGCATAATTTTATATGTGTAATAATATGTGAATTGAAATAATTTACATAATTGTATGGATGTAATAATCTGTGAATTAGCATAATTACATGTGAATTGGAATAATTATCATAATTTTTTTAAATCTCCTTTAGTTATGGACGTAATATGTGTATTATCAATTTCCTTAACAGGGCGTTTGGTTGAAGGGAATTTAAATTCCCTTCCCACTTAATTTCCACCTAATTCCAAAGGCCACAAAATTTCCTTGTTTGGTTGAAAGGAATTACAATTCCATGGAATTGTAATTCCCCCATTTTCATGGAATTAAAATCCCATGTCCCCCCCCCCCCCCCCCCCCCCAGGTATTTTAATTCCTGGAATTTTAGAAAGAAAAAAAGATAGTGATGAGTCAAAATTACTCCTTCCTTTTTTAACTTAAAATTAATGCCTAACAACAACAATGGACATTTTTGACTTTATACTACTTATTCCCTTTCAATTCCCATGTATACCAAACATTGGAATTTAAATTCCACTTTATTCCCAGTAATTCATCTCCCATGGAATTGCAATTCCTTTTCCACATAATTCCCCCTCTCCAACCAAACGCCCTGTAACTGATTAGATAAAATTTATATTACAGAAAGTATTAATTTCTTAATTGCCATAATTTTTAAGATTTTATTTAAAAGTAGTCAAAGGAAGTGTACGAGTAATTTATATTATTTGATGTAAAAAAAATATAAAATCGTCGTAAGAAGGGACTCTCTATGTTTAATTACTATAATAAATTTAGATGTTAAATACGGTTAGTAATTACCACGAGTTATTTATATGGTAAATAGTATATGGTAATTACCTATATAGATCACCTTATTGAACGGATTAACATATGGATTAGTATTATAAAAAACAGAGAAAGCCTTTTAGGTAAGATATATTAGGAAAAGTATCAATTAATTAATATCTATATTTGTAATTAGTGTTATAAATCTATATATATATATATATATATATATATATATATATATATATATATATATATATATATAAAATAAAATCCTCCTATTTTATGGTTTGAAAAATTTCTTTGTCATTACAAACTTCAATATTGAAAGAGTTAAATTCAGAGAAGTTTCTATGGCATATGTATCGCCTAAGGCCCTTCACTAGTTTGAAAGGTAACCAACCACTAAATGAGAAAGAGCTTATTGGTAAGATTTCTTGCTTGATTTTTTCATTTACATATTCTATTTTTTATAACGATACTGCTATCTCCAATACAGTGATATACTTTACATACTGTATTTTGCCATTAATTTATTGACTATGCTTCAATAAACTGTAAATATGGCTCCAATAATACAGTGTATAGCGCTGTATCTACAATACAGTGCTAATGTTGTTCTCTAAAATACAGTGCCTATATCTTTTCTCTATATTTTACATACTCCATACTTTTGCATTGAGTTAATTCCAGCAGCGGTCCTCCGACTATTGCGATTTTCCAAAATTAGTCCTCGACTTTTAATTTAGACGAAAAAGGCACTTGACTTTCAAATTTGTTCCAGCAATAGTCATTCCGTTATCCATCCGTCTCTTAACCGTTAGTTTAGGGGCCAAAATAGTATTTTCAAATTTGCTCTCTTCTCCCTCATTTTCGTCCGTATATGTGACGTAGAGAAGCAATAGGAAGAACTCCATTGTTTCTCTGATCTGGCATGGTAGCAGATTGAACAATCAAAAGCCTCTGCTCTCTTGGCAACTGCTAAACTAATTCTTCGAAGCCCTATAATTCCAACAGTTTTGCCACTAAACTGCAAAGTATGATGGCAACAAATAAGGTTAGAATGAGTATCAAAGTGTCCATCCTTAAATGAATACAAGCTCTATACTTTTAAACAAACTTCTAACATTCTTTCGTAAAATTCTAGTCCTGAATGTAGATTATTTCAGAATATTTCACCAAGCACTTAGAAGGCATATAGGGGTAAACAAAGCAGAGAGGACCAAAATTAAACTATTTTAACCAGCACAGTTTTGTTCTCTGTAGCTAAAAATTCGATCTTTGTACTTTGTCTATAGAAAATGACATAAAAAGAAGCGATTGAACCTTGGTAGTCAACTTGAAGTCACCCGTCTTCCACAACCCTGTCCTCACAACTCGATCACACTCGCAAATCCTTCAGAGCACAACCAGCATCAACCCGATTGCCAAGTCGGCGATGTCCTCCGTCAACACGTCGGGGGTATTGGTAACCCGAATTCCCTTCTC